AGACAGCCCCCCACACACCCCTGCCCGCACCAGCCTTGCACCCCCTGCCCTGCCCACACCAGCCCTGCACCCCCTGCCCTGCCCACGCCAGCCCCGCACCCCTTGCCCTGCCTGCAGCCAGACCCTACCTCCAGTCAGCCCCTGCCCTGCCTCCAGCCAGCCCCATGTCCACTGGTGCCCTGAAGTTCCCAGGGCAGTAACTCTGCACACCTGCTTCAATGAGGGGGGCAGGGAGCAGCTGGGACCCACACATGTGCACACCCTAGGGTGACCAGACAGCAAATGTGAAAAATCGGGACACGGGGTGCGGGATAATAGGAGTCTATATAAGAAAAAGACCCCAAAATTGGGACTGTCCTTATAAAATTGGGACGTCTGGTCATCCTAGCACACCCCCAGGGAGTGGTGGGAACCCACACGTGAAACGGAGCTCATTTCTTGTTCAGGCCCATCTTTTTAAAAAAGAACTTTAGGTAGGGTTAACATACATCCGTATTTTTCCAGAGATGTCAGATTTTTGGTTCTTAAATTGCCGTCCGGGAAAATATGGACGTATGGTAACCCTATTGGTACAAAAAACACATCCCTTAAATCAGAACTTTTTATAGGGAACCGGTTGCTAAGAAATGAAAGGCTTTTTTTTATGTTTTTTTTTTTAGTTATCCCTGCTGGGGCCCCACCAAAAATGTTCGAATTGGGTCCCCGCACTTCCTAAAGCCGGCCCTGTCCAGAGCTGTTCTGAAGTGTGTGTTCACTCTCACTGGAGCTAGGTTAGCACCAGTGCAGTATCTTGTGTAGTAACTCCAGCTAACTGTTTAAGCAAAGAGAAGCCCAAGGGGGCCAGGAGAGGTCACACCATGAAGGGCAAGGAGGAGAAGAAGAGGGGACTACAGGGCAAAGAGGATGGCAAGACAGACTGAGCCATCCTAGGGGAGGGAATGACATCAGGGGAAGACACACCACAGGGCAGGGAAAAGAGGACAGAGTGGAGCTCCGCTGCTTCCCAGACAGTCCCACGGGAGCCAGCCTGCAATGCGTTTTGGAGCAGCCGGGGTCGCACGGGCGGGCATCAGCCAGGCGAGCCCCGGGTTCTAGCCTAGCAGTCCCCCGGGGAACTGACGGGTGGCGAAAGCAGCAGAGCCGCGGGCCGCCGCTAGAGGCCGCTGGACCCGGCATGGCCCGGCTCCGCGGCTGGCATTGCGCCTGCGCGGGAGGCGGCGGGCGGGGCTGCGGTTCCCGGCACGCCCTGAAAGGAGGCGGCGTGTGGGCCGCGGGCCCGTAGTCAGCAGAGTGCCCGGTCCGGCAGCGATGGACGCTATGCGGCTCTGCGCGCTCTGGCTGCCCGGCCTGACCCTCATCCGCCCGGGGTCGGGAACGGGCCCCGGAGACCCGACTGTGCCGGGTGAGGACGGGCGGGACAGCAAGGGAGCTGCGCGGAGCGGGGCTCGGGGGAGGAGGGCGCCCCGCCTTTAGGGGCGTGGGGGGCACCAGGGGGCGCCCCGCAGTTAGGCTCTGGGGGCTGCGAGCGTCTGGGGCTGTGGGGGCGGCCCGGCTCTGGGGCTGTGGGGGCGTTTGGACCGGGGGGCGCCGCGCGGTTGGGCTCTGGGGGGGGGCACAGAGGTTGCTCCACCCCACATGCCTTGGTGCGCGTAGGGCCGGCCGAGTTTCCCCGCTCTCAGTAGCAGGCCGTTCTCCAGTCCGCCTGGTGCGCTGCACAGGCAGGGAGACTCGATTGCACTCGTGTACATTGCTAGTGTATGTGTAGACCTGCCCTAAAACTCCCTAGGGGCAGAGTTTTTCCCCAAGACGGGCCTGCTGTGACTCACCCAGAGTGAGGCACTTGACAAAAGCATAACAGAGAAACAGGAACTGGGTTGTCCTAGGGCTTTCTTTAACTCTTTCTGCAGTAACTGCCAGGCCAGGGTTTCAGATTATCTTCACACCTTGTCTACACTAGAAAATTAAATTGACCTAAATTAACTCACAGCTGGAGCTCCTCCAGGGCTGACAGTCTGAGCTCTGCTCTAGAAATTTATATGGATGCAATCTGCCCTGGCTTGGACTGTCCTCCCCTTGGAGGAGGAGTGGGGGGACATCTCCAGCTGTGAGCTCAGTGCAGGACTGACAGGGCCAGAGGTGGGAGGACTCCATCTGTCAGTACCTGCCACAGTTAAATTGGTGGAAGCACTCCTGGTTAGGATGCGTACTAATCAGTGCAGATGCATCTTAAGAAGTGGGTTTTTAGCCATGAGAGCTTATGCCCAAATAAATCTGTTAGTCTTTAAGGTGCCACCGGACTTCTCATTGTTTTTGTAGGATACAGACTAACATGGCTACCCGTCTGCTACTTGGCACCACTGACAGAGGGGGTGTAGTGTGAACATAAACTGCTGCAGCAATTACTGTGGTGGCTGTAGGTTGACCTAACTCATGTCAACTTTTAGAGAGAGAGAGAGAGAGAGAGATATCTCTATCCTCTCATAGAACTGGAAGGGTTTAACTGTGTTGGTATAGTTAAAGTGGTAGAACTCACTAGTGTGGATGCAGTTATAGTGGTATAAGGATGCTAAATATCATGGTAGCTTAATCCTGTATGAGATTCATAGATTCCAAGGCCAGAAGGGTTCATTGTGCTCATCAAGTCTCCACTCTGGTATAACAGGCTGTAGAACTCCTCTAAAATAATTCCTCGGGCATATTTTTTAGGAAAAACAGCCTGTTTTGATTTTAAAATTGTCAATGATGGAGAATCCACCATGACCCATGGTAAATTGTCCCAGGGTTAATTTCTCACACTGTTAAAAAATTATTTCCCGGCTGAATTTGTCTAGTTTCAATTTCCTTTGTTATTTGTTTCTCTGCTAGATTGAAGAGGACCGTATTAAATAATTGTTCCCCGTGTAGATACTTATAGATTGTAATCAAGTCACTTCTCTTACTTAAAATAAACAGTGAGTTCTTTGAGTCTCTGACTACAAGGCATTTTTTCTAATCCCTCAATCATTGTCATGGTTCTTCTCTGAACCCTCTCCAATTTATCAACATCCTTCCTGAACTGTGGGCACCATAATTAGACACAATATTCCAGCAGCGATCACATTGTACCAACTATCCTCTCTACTCCTCTCAAGAGTCCCCTGTTTATGCATCCCTGGGTCACGTTAACTCACTTGGCCACAGCAGCACAATGGGAGCTCATGTTCAGCTGATTATCCACCACAACCTTTGAATCTTTTTCAGTCACTTCTTCCCAGGATAGAGCCCCCCTTTCTGTAAGTGTGGACTACATTCTTTGTACATGTATAAATCTACATTTAGCCATATTAAAATGCATATTGTTTGCTTGCACCCAATTTATCAAGCGATCGAGATCATTCTGAATCAAGGACTTGATGTCTTCATTATTTACCACTACTTATCAGGCACCTTTATACTGATGCAACTGTTTCCATGCAAGGTTGTACTGATATAACTATTAGGGTTAAAAAAAATCACAACCCTACCTGAAATAGCCAACCCAATACAAAAACTGTGTAGAAAAGGCAAGTTTTGATTTTTAATGGGTGTTAAAAATATACCTCTTTTTCCTAGTAAAGATAAAGCCTTCGAATCTTGAAATTTTTTGGATACATTGTCGACTTGAAATCCAGTTGTGTTAAAAAGACTTGAAAGTAGCTTCCAAGTACTAGACTGGCTTCTGAATCTGCCTACCAATATTTGGTTTTGATTGCATTTTCCTATATTTAAAAATGTTTTGTTCTCTCTCCCATGTTGCTGTTTGAAAGACCAACACAAACAGGGAAGGGAAAGCTGTACCTGACTGCAAAGCAAATAGTGAAAACTGCTGTAAGCTGTGCTGTAAAGTGCACAGAGTAAAACAAACTGAAAATTAGAAAATATATTTCTCCAATTTTTCACTTATAGTAATCTTAGGTGTTGTAACAACAATCAATAAAATATTTTAAAATGTCGTCATTTTTTTCCTGTGGTAATTTTGATCGTACAGAATAGGGCATCTGGTGAAGTGGAGTGTTTATAAATTGTGAACTGCTACTTTGTAAGAGGAGTATATTCTGATTGTGGAATTTTTAATATTTGGCATTTAGAGCTTTTATAATTGTGCTGTTTATTTTTATAAATCTAAAGAAATCATTGGTTCTGTTATTCAGGCCCCAATCCTTTAAAGAGCATGCAAGGTTTTAGGTTATCTGCCAAATCTTCTCGAGAGCCTGTGAAATTTCACTGAGTTGAACTGGTCCTGCACCCTATTTACTTTCTTGATGTAGTTTTTGTGGGGTTTTGCTTCCTTTGTACTTTGAATGACTTCCATTATAGAAGGTCATCCATTTAAAAGAAAATTTAAAAATCCCTGCTATTCCCATACCTTTCTGACAATACCAGTGCACTGAATGAACCAATTTCCTGAACTTCATTTAGAAACTTGTTTTCTAGCTCTGATCATTGTGAGTGTTTTTTTGCCCATGTGGCATAACATTACTGAAAACTTAAATTTACAGAGTTAAGGAATATTTGCTATAGGCTTTATGAATTTTTCTAAATTTTTATTTCTATTTTTTGCTTGAGGTTGGTGTACTGGCCATCCGAAGAAGTGGGCTGTAGCCCATGAAAGTTTATGCTCTAATAAATTTGTTAGTCTCTAAATTTGTTAGTGCCACAAGTACTCCTGTTCTTTTTGCGGATACAGACTAACACGGCTGCTACTCTGAAACCTATTAGAATTTGAGTTTCTTCATTGAATTGGCTACTTGATACAATGTGAACTAATCGGGGGGCGAGGGAGAGAGGGGTTAAATTTATTTACTTAATTTATTAATCTGAATATGCTAGTAAATCACAAATTTGTTATATGCTAAGAATTAATGTCAAAGCAGCGGGACAATGGATTATGAAATGTAGTAGTTTAAATATCTTCTAGATGTTTTGGAAAAAAACATTAAGTAAGCTTTTTGACAATTTTTGTAGACTTAAAAAATTTCTTATCTATTTATGACTAAAAGTAAAAGTAAAAGTAGAACTACATACCTGACTAAGTCATTACCATCTGATGACTTGCTATATGTTACCATGCCAGTTTCTAGCGGATAGGTATCCGCACACAAAAAATTACAATTGGAATGCCTTTTGGCAGAGTAGCTAGAAAATCAAGGATTGGTTGGGCGAGTAGACTGAACTATAAACGTGGTCCATTTAGGTCAGGACTGAGGCACCTCATTGGGCCGGTGAGAAGAAGCTATTCTATCTGTGCTGTGGATGAAGGACCAGACTCCAGGGCTGTCAGGATGGCTTTTCACAAACATTAACCTCTAAACTTTTTCTGTAATGATTAAAACAAGTTGCATCCTGTTACCTGCCGCTGAGAAATAGCTACTAGTTATGACTGTAATCATCCTCAGGCAATATGAACAACAATGGGTTTTCTGTGCTTGAAGATACTTTTTTCATTGTAAAACCTAACTAAAATCTAGATTAACTCTTCCTATAGCATGTGGCTTTTAAAACATCCCTTAACAGTTCTTGTTGAGCTTTTTGCTAAGTAATTTGGTCTCCTGTCTTCAGAAAGTTTTTTCCTCTTAGAATGAGAACATGCCTGTCATGAGGCTTTATTTTTGAAACCTTTTTCTTGAGACTTTTTATGGAAAGGAGGAAAATTTGGTACTAAATCTGGATTAGGCATTGCTTGGCTTCTGCTTCCAAAGCTGCAGAGCTCAGAGTTTCCTTCAAATTGAACTGCAAGAGATTTAGAATTTCAGCAAAGATGTAGGCAGGCTCAAAACTCATGGGTCACGGGTTAAGTCTTTCGTAATCATCTTAGAGAGAACAGTCCTCTTTCGCTGATCTTCCTTTTGCAAATTGGAGCCAGGCATGGGCATAACTTTTTTCCTAAACATTGTGGAGGTGAAATTGAGTGTTCAGTGTCGTTTTACTTGTTAAAATACTAGTGGAAATGAAAGCTTTGATTTAAAATAAAGATGCGAACTCACCATTCCTTCTTTGCATGTATTTTGTAGATGAGATTACATTTTTGTGTATACATGCTGTGATTAAAAAGTTATATTATTTGACACTATTGATTAAAAAAAAGTTTATAACTTTGATTTTCTTTTTTTCTAGCATGCTCTAATTTCTCCTTCAAGTCCTGTGAAGACTGTCTAAAAAATGTTTCAGTAAGTTTTGTCATCTTTTTACTATTTTGGGGTCAGAGAATCTGGTGATGCTTACGTTTAATGAGATGATGTTGAAATGTCTTACTACAGCTAACTCCTTAGCTGTGCTTCACAGACTCAGAGGAGAGTGGGGAAGGAGATAGCAAAACAGTGTAAGTCATTAGAAAGAGTCATGCTGTCTGGAGTGGTTCATGGCTGTGTGCCTACCTTGGAGCAGACTGTCAAAAGCAGTGCAGACACCCCAAACTGGTGATATGTTTTATAATTAGCTTTTACCAACACAGGAACAATTGCGAACTCCTGGATCACTATATCGGTCTTATTGTAGAGTCAGACAGTCCCCTTAGGCTCTCCAGTCTATCTTGCCACCCAGGCAAGCTGGACTTAGTGATAAATGGTCACTTAATATATCACAAAATATTCAGGTTGCTTCCAGTCCCAAGAGACCAGTTATTTACTCCAGATTACTTGGTACCCTAGATCTTACACCAAAGACACTGCCTGTAGCCAGTCCTGTAATAAACTATCTAAAGATTTATTAACTAGGAAAAAGTTATTTACAGGTTAAAGCAAACAAACACAGTAACTCCTCACTTAATGTTGTAGTTATATTCCTGAAAAATGCAACTTTAAGTGAAACGATGTTAAACGAATCCAATTTTCCCATACGATTTAATGTAAATGCGGGAGGTTAGATTCCAAGGAAATTTTTTGGGGGCAGACAAAAGGCATTATATACTGTACAGTACTGAACTGTACTGTGGTGAGGAGGTGCCCCTGGCTTACCCCTGGGGCTCAGGGCTGAGGGTGCGGGGTCTGGGAGGGAGTTAGGGTGCAGGAGGGCGCTCAGGGTGGGGTGCTTCTCTCCAGCCGGCTTTGAAGGGGAAAGCGCCACTTCTCTCTGGACGCTGACTGCGCGGCTTCCCCTGCTCCTCCTGAGTCCTCCGGCACGTGCTCACATGACCTCATTCCGAAAGGGGCTTTAGGGCTGCAGGCCAGGGCCCCCTTAGCCCAGGGCCCTGCAGCCCCTAAAGCCCCTGCATTCTGGGTGGCCCTGCCTGCTTGGACAGGGGGAGGGGTAGCTTCCCCGCTCGCTCCCTTCCAGAAATTCCTAAGCGGAGGCGGGGAAAACACTGGAAGGGTGGGGGAGGAGGCAGAGAAGAGGAACCTGTGCAATGCTCCCTTGTAAAAACCAGTATGTTTCCCTAATAGAGCAGCGACGTAACTTCAAAACAACGTTAAGCGGGAGGACATTAAGTGAGGAGTTACTGTATACACAAATGAGTTGCAATCTGAATCCTAAAAGTGAGAGTTGTAGTGATCTGTCAATTCACAATGTGTTTCCGCAAATCCAGGGATAACCCTGGAGGATCTCTTGGTTCAGTTTAGAGTCTCTGGCCCTGTGAGAATGCAAACAGCAAAGACATGAAAATTCTCTTGTGACCCTCTTTTATCTTTTACATTTAGTCTTCCAGTATAGGAAATGAGCTCCCTTGCAAGTTGCATTTCCAAGATTCAGTAAGGCCATTCACCTATGCTTTGTGTTGCAACGTTCCTTAATGGCCTGTTTAATCTGGATAAGTTTCCTGAATGGGTGGGGGAATGATTCCCATGCCTGGGTTCACAAGCCCAGAGCAAACGTTTTCAAAGTTATAAAGCAAAGTTAACATATTTCCTTATAACAGGGAAAACAGACATTGCAAGTGAGATTACTGCATGCAGTACTTACAAGCATTTTATAGAGCCTAAACACTAATTATTATTATAAGACTAATACTTATTTTGAACAATACTAACATATAGGTGAGCTGGTTTGATTGCCAGCTATGAGTTTGTCAGTTCTTAGCTAAAGCTTTGAGCTTTGTCCAGAGTTGGCACTTGATTTGATTTGCCAGCATCATGTAAAGCATTACTTGTTCATCCAGCTAATGAAAAAGTAGAAATTATTGTAAAACATTTTTTCACTAAGAAAAAAATAGTCTTGTTCTCCCACATATGTTACTTTGTTGTAATGGGTCATTTCATTTAGTACCGATTAGCCTTGTGACAGCAGATTTTAAAACAATAAGATGAAATATGCTGATTCTCTCTGTACTGGGATAGTTGCTCACTGTGTGTGCTGTTAGCCCTCCACTAGCTCAACATGAGACTAGCAAAGCAATAAAGAAGGGTGCTCATCATCTTTGAAGTAGAAGACAGGAGAAGGTAAATGTGAGTCATCTGGATGAGCTTGTAACTATTGATGAATTCACTTATCACTGACTTGGCTATGTATAGGAAGCTTTTTTAGCATTTTCTCTTTGAATAGATGCTACTTGTAAGTACTAAAATGTTGGCATGTTAATAGGTGTATTCCTCACACACACACACACACACACACACACACACACACACACTTTCCATTAACATAAGTGAGAACTACTCAGGTGCACTGAGAAGAAAATAAATCCACAGGGGTGTGCTGAAGATACCAAGAGAAATGTAGATATGTTATCTTCAAAATCTATCAAACTATTGACAGTGTATATACTTCCTTTGATGACAGAATGATGGATGATGCAGTGAGACTGCCTTAATATCATCAGGGCTGACCTTGGAGAGATGAGGTTAGACTTGACTGAGCCGATTCACATAAAAATAATATAAAAGGCAGGAAGAACTAAACCATTAGCATCTATGTATGTAATGTAAAGGCATTAGATCACTGGAAATGATTTTTTTTTAATTGTTGAAGTAGAAAAATACCCACCTGCTCATTTTGGTAGTAAAATAGATGACAGCAGAAAATGAAAATAAGCATTTGGGGAATAGACGATAAAAATTTCTACTAAATCTTAGGGCTGGGGTTCACTACACAGTAATTATCAGTGTCTACATTACAGCCTTCCTCCCACCGATGTAAGTGCCCTACTACACTGACATAATAACTCCACCTTCACAAGAGGTATAAGGCTTATGTTGGTGCTGTTAGGGTGATGCAGTGTCTGTGTGGTCATCTGGTACATTGGCTGTCTTGTCAGTTTCACAACAGGAGCTGTGAAATTGACAATGCCTGGCAGCTGCCCTCTGCTTCCCTGGAGAGCTGGGTGGCTGGACCCTGCTCCTGGCTTGGAGCTGGGGTGAGAAGCCTGGTGGCAGGGACCCCCACACCCAGCCAGTAGCCTGGCAGGGAGCAGGTTAGGGGCGCTCCAAGAAGCCAAGGCAGCTGGACCCCGCTCTCCTGGGGCGAGAAGCCCAGAGTGGCTTCTGCTGGCAGGGAATGAGGAGCGTGGTGAGGGAGGAGCCCAGCCCGCCCGGAGCCTGTGGAGCAGCCAGGCTCTTGGCAGGGAGCTGAGAGACCAGGCTCTCAGCTCCCCACACTGCCCCTCTTAGGTTGGGGGAAGTGCTCCTTGTGAGTATGCTCACCACCGATCCAAGGAGTGTAGTGTGGACGTGCATCCAATAATTACTGCGGTGGGTGTGAGTCGACCTAATATAGCTTGACTTAGTGCTTGGTTTAGTTTTTTACCATCCCTACTATATAGGTCAGAATGTTCAAACTTCTGGCACCTAAATAAAAGTGGTCTCATCTTCGGAGGTTCTGGAACAGTTGCAGCTTCCATTGTGAGTACTCTGCATTTTAGAAATCAGGCCACTTTTATTTAGGTGCCTAATGTAGACTTCAGGTGCCTTATTTTAGGTACCACATCTGAAAAATTATGGCCTGAGCCCTTAAATCTTGTAACTGAACATTCTGTATTGACTTCTGAAAAGAGAGCTTAATGGCATTCTTTTTGTTGTCGTTATAACATTACCAGTTGTTATCTGCTGAACACTGTACCTCTTGACAGACCATCTGTAGGATGTCTGGCATTGGATACAGTCAAAAAGAGGCTTCTGTTCTTCCTGTTTGTACGCATGCATGGTGCCTTGATGGTGACTGGAACAAGAAGCTCCAAAACAAGAGACGTAATACAAACAAGACTACTTAACATTGCATATTAAAATCTTTCGCCTGGGTGTGTATATATTGCCTCTTTCTCTGTTTTTAAAAAAAGCCTAATTTTTTTTTCTAGACATTTGAGAAAATTGGATTTTTTTTTAATTGGCTCTTTACCATTCCCCTCATACCTTGTTTTGGCCAGAATTAGTCCTTAAAGTTTATTACTAAAATCAATTTCAGACATACTATCAAAAATAGAAAAAACTAAAAATAAAGCAAATTGACACTAATAAATTACACACAGCTTTTTAAAATGGCAGTGACTTATGAGTGACAGAGATTCGTCCCATGCATGCTGTAACGCTAATTATAGAAGATCGCGGAAGCAGCATTTTGTTGCATTCATGAGACTAAGAATTGTTCTACTTTGATAGTACTCCAGGGGGGATTCTGTATCAAAAAATTAAAAATTCTGCAAAATTCTACATATTTTATTTGTCAAAATAATGCAATATAATCATATCAGTTTCAGTTGTTTTGGTAATTTATTTAAACTACAATACAGAAAAAAGTTACAATAACTATTCAGCATTTCCTAAACACACGAAACTTAAGTTACAAATACTTGGTAATTAATACCCTACATTCCAGTTATTATCCTGGATTTTCATTTAAATTACATTACAGAATGCCAAACAGCGCCAAAAATACCCAAACTGGAATGTCATTTCAAATTGCTCAGACTTTCACACATGAAAGTTATACAGTTTTGCTAATCATTGTCCTGGACCTGGCTGTGTTTGTGTTGGGAAGTGTTTGCTTCCGATTGTTCTGACCTTTTATTGACTGCTTGGTAAATGTTTTATTTGCCCTCAAAGTCTTTTTTTAATGGGTAAGTAAAATAAATCCTGAGCTGTAATCTAACCCCATTGTGCCACTTTGACACAGGAAAAAAGTGCGAAAACACATAGATCTTCCTAGCTGATTCACCTACTGTCATTTATAAGGCTTTACATCACTCTGGCAATGTAGGGGCCTTAAAACTTTTATAGGTTTTATGCTCCTTGGGGAATTGATTGAGAACGGGAACAGTTAACTAACAATAGGAACATTAACAATATCACTACACATTTCTGCCTTGGGAAAGAGCCTTCTTCCTGCATAATTAAAAAGACCTACAGCGCCGCCGCCGCCCCCCCGCCCCCCGCAGTAACAAGCGAGAGGGACAGCGATGGTCTTTCTCTCCCACCCCCCACCCCAGCAGGCATGCAGGCCCAGCTCCCCTCCTCCTGCAGTGATTTATATCTCTGAGGCTGCTTCGGGCTCGCTGGAATAGACGTGCTGCCTGGGAAGAGGTGTCTTCTCTCTCTTTCTCTCTTCCCCCACTCCCCCGATTTCTTTTGAATTTTTCTGTGTGGAGAGCACAGAAATATGTGGGAAATATAAATTCTGCACCCGGGGATTCTGTCAGGAGTCTAATAAGATATTATCCTGATAATGAGTACTGCCTCATGCCACAAGCTCACTTAGACATCATGTAAGATCCAGAGTCTGTACTAACAGATTCCAATGTAAACTTGGGTCCTATAATATCAAAATACAGTGCAAACTATGATGATAATCTCTGCCTAAATAGACAGCAAAATATTTTCAATTGTAGACTGTCATGAATTTGAGAATCTAAGTTAGACAAGTGTTTCATAATACTAGTAAAATTTGCTTGTCTTGTAGCTTTCTTTTAAAAAAAAAAATAGCTGTAGTAAGGCAGTTCCTGTTTTGATATCAAGAATAAATCTGCTAAAGAGCGCAGGGTAAAATAAGAAAATTCTATCTCGTACCAAATCTTCTGCCCTTGAGGCTGCATGCATTATCAGTTACATAGGCAGTCTCCAGAAAGTGCTAAAGTTGACCTTTCCACACTATTACTTGCAGCCAGCAGCAGTTTAGCAGTGGCTCTAATTATCAGTCAAGCAGATATTAGGCTGGCTGTTCTTCATATATTCATACAGTTTATCTTGCATATTATAAGAAATAGTTCAGCCAACACCAACAAGCACCATCTAACATCTTTTTGTATAAAATTGATCCTATAAAGATATTCATTTTGGGGAAATTAAAGCATTCTGTTTGTTTAGATGTTCTTAGTAAAGTGAAAAGCAACAGAGGGTCCTGTGGCACCTTTAAGACTAACAGAAGTATTGGGAGCGTAAGCTTTCGTGGGTAAGAACCTCACTTCTTCAGATGCAAGTAATGGAAATTTCCAGAGGCAGGTATAAATCAGTCTGGAGATAATGAGGTTAGTTCAATCAGGGAGGGTGAGGTGCTCTGCTAGCAGTTGAGGTGTGAACACCAAGGGAGGAGAAAC